GATCCTCGTCAAAAATGCAATCAACAAAACGGGCCGTGTGACAGTCACCTGTCATGGGGTCCAGATACCTGATTATGGACATAGTCTCATAACCAACATATATCCCCGACTTACGGAGCGGGCCCATCGCCGATCGCTGAGGGGGTGGTATTGGTACATATACCTGGCAACCGAACCTGCGAAGGTGGGAAATTTTCGGTGCCGACCCTTGCGCAAGCTGAACAGGAGAGTGGATGTTGTAGGCCGACGGTCTAAAGTTGATGAGATTGGCCGCGTGTAACACTGCATGGCCCCAACATGTAGTTGGTAAATTACAATCCTGAAGGAGCGGTCGGGCAATGAATTTAATTCTTTTAATTAATGCCTCGGCAAGTCCATTTTGTGTATGAACATGCGGTACCGAGTGCTCAACTTTCATTCCCATTTCCATGCAATAATCATCGAACGCCTTTGAAGTAAATTCTCCGGCGTTGTCCATTCAAATAGACTTTATACGATAATCCGGGAAATTATTCCTCATTTGTATGATCTGTGAGATAAATTTTGCAAAGGCATGGTTCCGTGTTGACAGCAGGCAAACATTGGACCAGTTAGAGGAAGCATCAATCAGCACCATGAAGTACCGAAATGGCCCTGTGAGGGGCTGAATTGGACCGCATATGTCCCCTTGGATACGTTCCAAAAACGCGGGGATTTCATCCCTCACCTTGAGGGGCGATGGCCTAATGACTAACTTCCCCTTAGCGCATGCGGAGCACACGAAATCATCGGGATTCAGGAAGTTCTTCACGTTAACATTATGGCCATGCGAGTTATTAATTATATTTCTCATCATCCTAAGTCCGGGGTGGCCTAACCTATCGTGCCAGAGGCAGAAGAGTTCAAAGCTTCTAAAAACGGTCTTGAGGGTAGTGTACACAGGCGGTGCTACTATTTTAGTGTAGTATAGCCCTGTGTCGAACGAAGGAAGTCTTTCGATAACATGTTTACCATTTGCATCCCGCTTTGTGATAAGTAGGCACTCCTTGCCGTTCTCATCATCGGTCTCAGCATGAAAACCATTGGCGCGGATGTCTCTAAAGCTCAAAAGAGTACGAGTCGACTCCGGGTACAACAACGCATCATTAATGATCAAAGTTGTTTCCATAGGAAGTATAATAGTGGCTCGTCCGGAGCCAACTATGTGCGAACCGCAGCCGGCGATTGTCATAATACTTCTCGGAGATTTTTTAATAGACTCAAAGTACTTAGTTTCTCGTAAAATGGTATGTGTAGTTGTGCTATCGGCAAGGCATGTTTCTTCCATTCAGGCGCCACACGCGTTCTAAAATATGACATATAATTAATGTAATGAGGAAGACGCTACATTAATAATAAATGCACACATTCCAGAACATAACATACTATCATGTATAAATAATGGAATAAATGAATAAATGTCATCCAATCGCCAAAGTAAATAATAAGTTTATGCTCTCATAGAGCTTACAACCAAATTGAATTTATTCGAATTTATTGTATCAAATCACGGAATCATGATAACCAAAGGGGTATGCTAAGTAGACTCGGTGAAGAAGCCATTGACCTCAGCCGCAATCTCCATACTAGTGAGCTGATCCTCCCAAGAAATCATCTTGGAGGCGGCATCAACATCTAGTTGCGGCACCGCCGAGGCGACCATGTGGTCAACCTCCATGGCAACATTGGCGTCACTAGAGATAGCCAAAGCCGCCGCAATGGGCACCACAGGGGTCGCCGCGATGGGCGCAGCAGGGGGCATAGAGATCATCACGGGTGCCGCCATGGGCGCCAGTGGTGCTCCCTCCTGAACCAAGGCGAGGTGCATCTCACGCACCTTCCGGGCCTTATATGCATGAACGACCTCCTGTGGTGCGCGACATTGGTGGGAGAAATGCTCCACCGAGCCGCACCGAAAGCAGTCCTGAGGCCTCTGCCCCCCCCCCCCTTGCCCGGCTTTTGCTGCTTAGCCAGGGCGGAGGGCTGAGGGCCCTTCTTCTTGCCCTTGCGGCCCCTCTTCTTCTGTTGAGGCTTGCGAACTTTGAGAGCATTCACCTCCTGGCGAGAACTCCCCCCAAGTGGTTGCGCGGCAAAGTTCTTTTTCAGAACCTCGTCATGCGCCTCTGCCACCTGGAGGACGTCAATCAACTCTGAATACCTCATGTAGTTGCCCTGGCGGTAGTTCCGTGCGGACAGGACCGCGTCAGGGTGGAAAGTGGATAGGGTTTTCTCAATCTTCTGAGTGTCGGTAATCTGAGTACCACACATCTGAGGAGTCATACAAATCCAGTGTAGAGCCGAATTGTACTCCCCAACCGTCTTGAAGTCCGCAAACCTCAGACGGATCCACTCTGCCTCTGCACGTAGCTTAACAGTGTACTTCAGCCGCTCAAACAACATCAACCTCTGCTGTGGCTGCCGCAGCAGCGAGCGCGCGCGCTGGCCAAGGCCGACGTCCAAAGGCCAGAAGCACTGCGCTCAGCCATGTAGTCATCTTTCAGAGTAGGTGACAGGTGATGACAGAGAAAGTGCAGAGCCTGCGCATTCTCAGTTTCAAACTTGGGATCAGTGGCGGCCAGCTGGGCCCCCTTACCGATCGCCCTCAGGAGGGTTTTGCCCTGGAGAAAAATCTCACAGTCCGAAGCCCATGACAGGTAGTTCATCCCCGTCTGGGCCAACTTAGCAAACTCCTTGTGGACAATTTCGGCCATCTGCGATTTATGCGAAAATCATGAGATTACAGCAGGAAATCTTTTGCACAAAGCGATGTTGATAAACTTATTCAATAAAAGGACGTTCCAATATTTAAAACATGCTATTATATGACTTACTAAATGATTAAGAGTGCTAAACAATTAATCTACAGCAGTAAAATCATATAATAATATCATGTTACAAAGGATAGCATGTTAAGCACATCTCGTATGTCAAAACTAGCCCAAAAATTGAATTCCCGAGGCATTTTTAAGTCCAAATACGTGTTTTCAATGAAAACAGACAGTTCCAGGGGCTCCTACACGAAATATTACAGCAGGAATATAATGCGTGTAAAAACATAAAACTATAGGGGCTAAAATTGAAAGAACCACACGCGCGCGCCCATTTTGGCTCAGCCCGATGCGATTGCGGGCCGAAAAAATGTTAGTGCGCACCAGCCGGCCTGTCCAGTGTTTCTTTTGTGGAGAGGAGACGACCTGGTATGCGGCAGCCCGCTGGGCCGGCCTGCTCAGGGCTTCGCTAGGGTTTCCCTAGCACCCGAGTGGCGGCTGCGGCTCACACACACGCACGGCGTGGCCAGGCGGGCCATCGCCCGTACTCGCGGCGGCGGCGGCGGCCACACAGGGCGCGGCCGGGCTGGCCAGCGCGCGCGCTCGCTGCTGCGGCAGCCACGGCGGCGGCTTGGCACAGTCATCTGGACGTCGGCCTTGGGATGGCAAAATCGTGCGTCTTCGGGACGTCACGACGCGTGTACGTCGGGTACAACGCGGCGGTGCCGTGCTCATCTGGAGTACGTGTAATCACCGTCTCCCTAGGGTGTAGTCAACAAATCTCTCTTGATCCAAGAACATCGACATTGGTCGGCGACGTATTCGTCCGCTCGGTTCTTGGAAGAGAAATCCACACCATAGGTAGATTTATCCGAAAAAATAAACTAATCGCAAAAACGGAATTGCGGTAACGAGAGGAATCCATTTTTGCAAAAAGGGGATCGGATCTTATACCTCCGCGGGATCGACGAAAGCCTGCGTGATGCAGGCTTGACACAGGCTTGACGGAGAGTTGATGGAGCGAAGCGTGCTGATAACGTGTTCCGCAACTCCGCCGGCGAGTCCGGTCCGAGGTTGCGGGGCGAGGGCGAGCGTCGTAGACGAAGTAGTCGAACACGCGAAAGTAAATGACACAGAGAGATATGGAGGAGACCAGCTTTATTAACCAATGATCAGAGATTACAATGATAGTTCCTCGTTGCTTTATATAGGGTTTCCAGGGTCAAGAGATAAGTACCCACTTAATGTAAAGTGGGGGAAACGGGAGGGGCTACCCCGTGCGATACGCACGAGGCTGCCGCCACCCCTCGGTGGCCCCGGTTCCCAACAAAACTGACGGCGTGACGACCTGGCTAGCACGCGTCGTACTCAGGTCCGTTAGTCCCTCCGTCGACTCTAAAGAACGCTGCATGTAACGGTTGTCTCACGAAATCAAGCGGTGTGAAGTTTGATCAGGTCGCGTCTTCGGAGATGGCAAGCTTCTTGTCAAACAGTGTCAAAAAACGTCGTTGTATATTAAGTTAGGAAGGGAGTAAATTAGCATGCTCCACTGACGAGATGGCGCCAAAGCATCAGAAAGTTGGTACCGTCTGCTCAGACCGTTTTGTGTCCCAAGCGTCGCAATCAGCTGCCGCGAGCCGTGACGACGGACGCGATTAGCCACGATCCGGGACGATCCATGACACTGTCTGCTACTGCGTATTTTGTTGCGAAACTCGCTGTCAACCACGTCTCGATCGTAATTACGTAACTCATTAAGCTGCCATGCGTGCACCATCCGTTATGCCTGTCACCCTCTCGGAACCTTCGACTAGGAGTACGTACGTGGCCGAGCAGAACTACTCACTCTAAACAAGTTGTCATAGCTGTTGTTTATCCATTTCCTTTTTGAACGTTGATTCTTCACGGCCACGGACAGCGTGGACTTTGTTGCAGCCAGCAGCTACAGCTTGTCCTCCAAGTACTCCAGTGCAGTGCAATGCAAGTTCTCTCCTTGTCTCCGTTGACACTGACAGGATATGACGAACTGGCCTGCGTCATGGCATAAACTCACCATGAACCCCTCGCGCACCGCTTCTGATTCCGACCTATAAAAAGCTGCATCACACGCCGGCTCGTACCAACAGATCACCGGATCAACTAAATCCACTTTGCACTTGCTCACACGATCGATCACTAGTTCACTACGACGAACAAGTCGTCCCAAGGGGAGAAATGGGCTCGTGCGTCTCGCGCTCGCCGGCGTCGTCGGCGGTGGCGGGGTCAGGGCGGTCAGTGGCCACCAAGACCGCGAAGGTGGTGGACGTAGACGGCTCCATGGCGCAGTTCACGGCGCCCGTCACGGCGCGCGAGGCCCTGGATAGTGTCCAAGAGCGCCGCCCACGCGCGTCGGTCTTCCTGTGCAGCTCCGACGAGCTCCGCTTCGACGTGCCCGCCCGCGCGCTTGCGGCAGACGAGGCGCTCCAGCCCGGGTGGCTCTACTTCGTGCTGCCCATGTCCACGCTCCGCCGCTCACTCTCCGGTCCGGAGATGGCCGCGCTCGCCGCCAGAGCAAGCTGGGCGCTGGCCTTCGCCAGCGGCGTTGCGTCACCCCCGCAGCGCAAGAACGGGGCCGGGGTGCCCGGCGCCAAAGGCAAGCGACGGAAGGCGGCGGCTCGTGTGTCGCCGCTAGTTGTCGCGGATGAGATCGCCGGAACAGACGGTGGATCGGATCATCACCATGTGTACGGCAAGTACGGCGGCGATGAGCCAGCGGCGAAGGCGTGGAAGAGAAGTAGTTCAGGTGGAAGCCGCAGCAGCACTCGCCATCTTCGCCGTGCATCTGGCACCCCAACACTGAGCTCCATTTTGGAGGCCGATGATTTCTGAGCAACCCGGTATTGATTCAGCGGTTCGATTCTTAGGAGTGGTTAGCAACTTTTCTTGATTACCATGCATTAGTTTAGTTCAGTTATTTCGTCCAGTATGTTGAGTTGCTCGACCGGTGTATATACTGCATACGAGTTATATGCACAGCATGCTTGTTTCTTGATGTGTGCGTTTACAATCTGTATTGTGAAAACTCATATATATACAGATACCGACACTGCATGAAAGTACTACAATTTTGGACCTAGCATTCTGTTTAGATATCTGAATTCTGCATTGACGCTCTGATTTTGGTCGCTACAAGGTTAAACGATCTTTGGTCTCTAGTTCGTCTTCCTTTTTTTTGAAGGGCAAACCGTAGAACAATGGTCCTACGGTAATTTTCCATTAATAAAGAATAAAGTTTACAAATATATACAAAATTACAAAAAGAAATAAAGGAAAAGAGCAAAAGGAGCTAGTTTTTCGAATCAACCCATGCATGACCTTGGGATCATGGGGGAAACAGTTTCAGATAGCTTTGAGAGCTGCAATCATCAAAGATGAGCAGTAATCCAGGCTTGAAGCCTGCCCAAGTGCTTGGCCTTTATTCTCTGTGCTGTAAAAGGAGCAGATCTTCTTTGAGCCTGAATTTCCAATAATTTACACTTGGAACTTCCGGTCTGAACACTTTTTCATTTCTCTGTGTCAATATATTCCAGCACCCTGAATAATGATGTCCATAGCAATTGGTGCTCGCAGGAGCAATTGAGCCAAATAAATATCATCATCATCATAGTAGGAGATTCCAGGCTTTTTATTGGGAATGATGCTGTTCCAGCAATCTTGTAAGAAAGCACAATCCCAAAAGAGATGTCTTAATGTTTCTTCAGCATGCTCATTACAGAAAACATAATCATAACAGTACAAGTGCATTTTTTTTTTCCTTTCAAAAAGATTTTTGGTATTGACCCTGTCATGAAGTAGAAGCCAGAAGAAGATTTTACGCCTCAATCTATTAGAGGCCTTCCACATACCATTGAACAGTTGATTGTCTTCTTGCCCGTGACAAATGGATTTGTACATTTTAATGGAAGAGTACCTATTGGATTGTCCTATTCCTTGCCATGCATCTGTACTTTGGGGAGACCTCATCCTTGATTGGTCGAACCATTGAGGTTGCATTTAATGAGTTTTTGGGTAGATGCGGTATGTTAGAAAAAATTGATACAAATTTGGATTATGGTGTTTGATGTTTTGAATTTGAAATATTGTCGAATTATAGACCACAGTAGAATTTACATGTACGAATTATTGAAGTGCTAAATCTTGACACATGTTATAGTATATGGCCGTGTGCATCACCTAATGCAGAGGCCGAGAGTCTTGCCCTCTTTTCAAAAAAGAGAGAAAAATAATTGCGAGGATATTACATGGGAGGTGGTTGGAGTGCACACAAAATAACATTATCCCTAAGAGCAACTCTAGCAAATCCTCAAAGCTTAACTCCCAAATGACACTTATTGGAGAGCCCCAAAAAAACGTTCTAGGTATTGGAAGGTTGTGACCCAGCATTTTCCCTAAACTTAACTCCCATTTTTTTCATTTACTAGTTCTCATCTCTTTCGGATATAAACACCATTTTCACACCATATTCTATTCAACCACTGACGTTTAAAAAGCCCAAAGTTCAGCAACATTTTAAATGCATAATTTTAAATTTTCACTTTCCACTTGAAGCCACACTCACGCAAGAATTCAACCAAAATACACCTCATATCATCCCAAAAAGGTTATGAAAACACCACATATATCATCAAAAGAAAGAACATACAACATACAACAAAGTGCATCACATCCCCATCCCACTACACCCAGCAAAGTGTCGACTCCAAGGCATCTCCGATGTCTTTCCAAGAATGAGCTCTCATTAGGCACTTTCCTAGTCAACCATTCCACCTGCGTCCACAGACATGAACCTTGCATCTTGCCCCTTATTGTTCATTTCTCTCTTGTATAGTGCTTGGATGTAGTTTGAACCCTCCCCTCTTAGCGCTCCACTTGGATGTTAGAGTTCAATGTCACAAACACAACATGTGCACCATTTGCAACAATCTAGTATTGCACTCTAGTGGTGTAAGAGTCAACATTGTGTTCAATTGGAAGGAATCTTCACATTGTGTTGATAGTGCTCCTCAATGAGCCTCTAAAAGGTTTTCTTAGTTTGATAAGTGCCAATAGGTGCATCAAGATAGAGATTCATCCATGCCAAGAAGAAATGCCTCATCCTACTCTACCTTGTAATTGGACGCTCTTATATGTTCACCTTGTTTGCTGTTGGAGTCTTCGCCTTAGCAACTTCTTCCCCTTGTTTCACTTTCGCACTCTCATTTGCCACTGAGAAGACAATGCCATGGATACCAACATGTCATCCAACATGGTCTCTAAGGAATCAAAATCAGGTACCCTTTGCGAACTATACGGGCATGTGCATGATCTCATAATAAACCAGTCCAATTCAACTTCAGAATTTTAAATTGCATACACCAATCACATAGTGACAATATCTATTTGCATTTCATCGCGAAAAACTGGAAAAGAAAACATTAAAAAAACTCCCGGGAATTTAGTGCACCCTTTTGGGCACGTCCCATGAGTTATCAGCATGACAAAGTTTTTTCTCTGTTTCCCGTTCTTCAATGTATTTTCTCCTCTGCCCATTGATCACTTGATCAAACACTTTGTTGCTCCCTCCTGCTAAGCTAATGAGAATCGGCAATTTGTTGGCTAGTTCGAAAAAAAATTGGACGAGCACCTCATGCGTGCCGGAGCCAATGTCAAGATCAAACACATCAGAGGCCGAAGGGTTCTGCAACGATGGAGTGGGAGGGCGCCTGAGGAGAGGTAAAGTAAGAGGTGTGCAATCTTCTTCGCCGCTGAAGCGGTGCTCTTCAAGGGAGGTGTGAGCGCCACCGGGGGCAAGGCAGAGGTGGCGGTGCAGTGGCAAGAGTAGGGTGTCGCGCGCCCACGGTGGCCACGGCAGCGGCGCCAGATGGCCGCGACATATAGTCGACGGCAGTCGGCAGGACCACCTTGCTCTATTGGCGCGACGGAGCCGTGGGTGGTGCCGAATTTGGGAGTGTGATATGGGAAGGAGAAATTTCCCACCTATTGGGAGTTTTTCTTTTTCTTTCCGGAGTTAAGGAATCATTAGAGATCTGCTAGAGTTCATTATTTCCCAATAGTAATATATTTTCGGAGCTAGCGAATTATTGATGGTATGCTATAGTTGCTCTAGAGTAGGGAATCCCTAGGAAGGTTTTAGAGTGGCATTCTTTCTCCATTTGAAGTAGTATGACGTTGGCCTTGCTCAAAGATCTTCTGTGCTTTATTATTGCAAAATAAGTTTAATATACGTTCGTGCCGTCCAGTTCAGTTAGCTAAACTGTCTCAGCTGCAAAGATCGTTTGTGACCTTCATACTGCCAGCTAAATATACTTAGTCTCAAACATCATAATCAGCTACCGCCAGCCGTGACGACGCGACGACGAGTCTAGCCATGATCCCGGACGACATAGACATGGCACTGACAAGTCGCTCTCGCAGTCTCGCTGCGTAGTTTGTTCCGGAAGTTGCTGTCACCACTGAATTAGCCATTCACCCCACCCCACGTACCACTTGGTAGTCGGACAATTGGCACTTCCTGTCACCTTCCTGCAGGAACCTTCGACCAGGAGATCAGATCTATCTACTCACGGATCACTTTGACCGCCATACAAGTGGCCTCTACGGCGACTTTGTCACAACGAAACTACTAGTAATAAGCAGCCAGCATGCACCAACTTGTCCTTCAAGTGATCGATCAGCTGCACTGCAGTGGAGTGCAACGCAAGTTCGATCCATCCGTTGGCACTGACAGCATGACGAACGGGCCTACGTCGCCGCATAAACACATGAACTGGTTCTACACTTCCCTATAAGAAGCTTCATCACACAACCGTATCAATCAATCCATTTTGCACTTGCTCAGAGAGTCATACGGACTCACACTCACGGCACACGTACCATACCAACACGTCGTCACGAGGGGAGAAATGGGCTCGTGTGCCTCGCGCTTGCCGGCGTCGGCGGCGGCGGCCGGGTCCGGGCGGGCAGTGGCCACCAAGACGGCGAAGGTGATTCGTCTGGACGGCTCCATGGCGCAGTACGCGGCGCCGGTCACGGCACGCGAGGCACTGGTTGACGCCGCCGGCGCGTCGAGCTTCCTATGCAGCTCGGACGAGCTCCGCTTCGATGCGCCCGCCCGCGCGCTGGCCGCGGACGAGGCGCTCCAGCCCGGGTGGCTCTACTTCGTGCTGCCCCTGTCTATGCTCCGTCGGCCGCTCTCGGGGCAGGAGATGACCGCCCTCGCCGTCAGGGCCAGCTCGGCGCTGGCCGTCGCGAGCGGCATCTCGTCCCCCACGCGCGGCAAGAACGGAGCCGCGGTGGCTGGCGCCAACGCCAAGCGACGGAAGGTGGCGGCTCGAGTGGCACCTCTCGCTGACGATGACGATGTCGCGGAGCGGGACGGTGGATGGGACCAGCACCTTGCGTACGACAAATACGGTGGCGTGCGCAAGAGGGTGCTCGCCGCCGGTGATGAGACGGCTGGGAAGGCGAGGAAGGGGGATCAACAGTTTCAACACCATGCGTACGGCAAATACGGTGGCGTGCGCAAGAGGGAGATGCTGGTACTGCCTCCACACGAAGCTGCAACCACATACGGTGTTGGCCGCCGGTGATGAGGCGGCTGGGAAGGCGAGGAAGGGGAATGGTTACGGTGGGAGGCGCAGCAGCCGTCATCGTCGTCGTCGTGCAGGCGCGCATAGGTTGAGCGCGATTTTGGAGGCCGATGACTTCTGAGTTCAACGATTCTCGGGTGTGTTTAATTTAATTCCGTTATTAGTTAAAGTTAGTTGGTTCTGTCCATCGATCGTCCCATGTATATACCGCATACAGCAATTGATGTTTTTCGACATGAAACTCATATTTAGAGATGGTGGTACTGCCAGAAAGTACAATTTGGAACTAGGTAATGCACTCCTTGCTGCACAGTTAAACGGGCTAGGCTGTCCCAAAAAAGAAGCTAAACGGGCAAGGCTTACACACACACGCACACGATTTCCGAATAGTCACACATTTTCCGAACGTGCTCTTGGCTAACCGCTTCCCTCTCTTTCTTTGGCGACAGACGAGTTCCTGCCAGCCTTTGGATGTCGGCGAGGCCGTGATCCCAACCCCGCTCCGTCCGCTGCTCCAGCGGCTAGAGGAAGGGGGCAGGCTCCCGTTTCTCTCCCTGTTGTTCCATAGGTCTAGGGTTTCGTCGTCGTCTAGTAGTGTCAGTTTGGTGAGGTTGATGTTGCGTTGAATAAAGTGGCATTCGTCATTGTCGGACAGGATAATTGTGTTTCACCGTGAAGCACAACTATGTTTTTCTTTCGCACAGTGTGATTTTCATGTGATTTTTTTCCTGAGAAAACCAAGCAAAATGCACAGTGTCAATTTCTTTAAAATGTGAATGGAACCCTAAAGCGAGTTCCCGCAGAGTGTGTCGGCTTGTGGCACATGGCGGCACTGGGGCACGAGGTACACAAAAACC